GTCGGGCAGCCCAGTAACCGCAATTCGGCTCCATCAGCCCGCCCGCGGCCGTCGGGCTGCCTGCGCAGGCAGTGCAGGCAGCACCCAGGCTTGTGCAACCAGCGTTTCCGTATCCTCAGAGCTCCCGCGGGTGCGCCGAGCTGGGTCCCTGCCCGGGGAGGTTCCTCCATTCCCTTCCCCATCAGGGCATTTACAGGAAAGCAGTTGCAGTTCCCGAAAGGGCCCCGGTCAAAGCGTGACACTGCACCTGTGGCTCCTTCCTGAGTAAATTCCCTCCTTTAACCCCCCAAAACCCAGCCTGGCTGCGGCCAGCATCGCCATCGCGGCTGCCAACCTGACTAAGCACCTCTGAGACCGGGCACGCTCGTTTCACAAGTGGCGCAGCAGGGGGTTAGAGGAAACACCTCCAATTTTTGCCTGCTCAGACCTGTTACACTGCCCACGCGATGCCCAAGGGACCCGGGGCACCTTGCCCTGGGGACACAGCCTGCATCCAGGGAAGAGTGCGGGGCCACCAGTGTTTCCAGCTATGGAAACAGGGCTGGTGCCAAGCCCGCCTGCCCAGGAAGGGAGAGCCCCGAAGTTTTGGCGTTAGGTGGTAGTAAATCAGAGCAAACAAAGCTCAGCGGAGGGGAACGTGGCGGGACTTTCTCAACCCTGATTATTATTCTGTAGCAATTTCCGTGAGAGTTGGGGCAGGGTTTTTACCAGAGCGACTTGGGCTGTTCTGCTCCTCGGGAACACTGCGCTTTTGTTTTTAAAACCAAGGGAAAAAAAAATAAATAAAAGGGGAGGGGGATAATAAGCTTGAAACTTTGGTAAAGAGAGGAACTGCCTTCGCCAGCCGGGCTGGAAGAGCAGCCTCTGCTCCGGTGAGTGCTGCCTGCGGGTTGGGATGGGGCAGGCAGCAGGGGTGGGCTCCCCAGGGGTTCCTGCAGCAGAGGCATGCGGGGACGCCCTCGCTGGTGCTGGGGTTTGCCTCCTCCATCTCATGGGGATCCCCATCCCGCCCCCCAGCATCCCCAGAGCAGAGCAGGGAGGGCACGGGGTGGTGACAGCCAAGGTCCCAGCTCTCCTCTCTGAGGGTGGCCAAGTCCGGGGTCCCCGTCGGGGAGATGGAACTCACTTGTGATCCCCCCCACTCCTTCCGAAACTGAGCTAGAAGGGGCTTCACTACAGCCTGCACCCCCCCAGTGTTGAGAAGGGACTGGGACCTCCCCCCTGCCCTGCTCCTGGGGGGACCAGCCAGCCCTTCTCCAGCACCTCGGGGTGCAGGAGACCTGTGGGTGGCTGGAGAGGGGACAAGGGACCAGGTCCCCCAAGGCAAAGGGCCCCCTTTCCCCTTGCCCACCCTCCACACCATGTCCGCACTCACCCGTTCCCCGGCTGCCCTCGGCGCTCCGGTCCGGTGCCTGGAGCATCCTCCTCCTCCTCCTCCCTTATAGCCGCGTGTGG